TTCTTCCAGAACCATTTGTTGAGAAGACCATACTTTCCCCATTGAGTAGTTTTGACATCCTATTAAAAATCATTACCTCATCTATATGGGGTTTTTGTCCTAGGCTCTTTATTTTATTGTACTGTTCTGCCTGTCTTCATGCTGATGCTACATGGAAGCTTTGTAGTAACTTTTGAAATTAGGAAGTTTGAGTTCCCCAGCTTTGTTCTTCCTTTTCAAAGTTGTGTTGGCTTTTCAGTGTATCCTGAGAGTCTGTTACTTTTTATATATCTGCAAAAGTGTCACTGGAATCTTGTAAAATATTGCTTTGAAAGTATAGGTAACTTTACACAGAAATGACATCTTAACCATTTACTCGACTGGTGGAAATGGTACTTGCATAAGTGATGGTTGGGACAATTAATACAAAACAAATGTGCAGCCCCAGTGAGCACTGCTAAGTGGTTAATAATGTTAAGTCTTCTCATGCACAAACATGAGTTGTATTTCTATTTATTATGTCTTTAATTTCTTTTTTTTCCCTTTTGGCAGATCTAGGGATTGAACTCAGGCCCTTGTGCTTGCCAAGGAAGCACTTACTTCACTGAGCCATCTCCGCAGCCCCTATGTCTTTAATTTCTTTCATGAATGTTATGTAGTTTCATTTTACATGCCTTTGACTTCCTTGGTTAATTTAACTCCTAAATATTTTATTCATTCTGATGTGATCGCAAATTGAATTGTTTTTGCAGTTTCCTTTTCAGGTTGATCAGAAATGGGACTGATTTTCATGTGTTGATTTTATATCCAAATATATTCTGAAGTTCATTTATTCATTCTAACAGTTTTTGTGGAAGCTTTTATGATTTTCTACATAAAATCATATCTGCAAATGAAAAGAATTTTACTACTTTTCCAACAAGATGCCTTTTATTTTTCTTTCTTGTCTAACTAATTTCTTTTTTTTTTTAATTTTATTTATTTATGTGTGTGTGTGTGTGTGTGTGTGTGTGGCCAGCTCAGCCCACCAGGGGGCGGGCTGGCTGGCATGTGATGCTGGGGGATTGAACCATGGTCCCTGGGCTTTGCTGCGCTTGTTCTAAGTAGGTGCTTTAGACCACTGAGCCATCTCACCAGCCCCTGTCTAACTAATTTCTGTGGTTAGAAGTTCCAGTAGTATGTTGAATAGAAGTGGCAAAAGTAGATGTCTGTTAGGTAAATGGTGAGGACCTAGTAAAGAACACAGCCAATCTGAATTTGGGGTTCTGGGTTGGGCATCTTAGAGTAACTTCAAAGGAGAGTTTGAGTCCATTAATTGAGCTGGGTCTTTTATGGATAGGGTGGTGAGTTAGTGGGACAGGGTTAGATGGGATAACATGAAGGGGGAATCTTGAGATTGGGGGAGCAAGAATGGCTGAGTACGTGGCTATAGCAATGGGTGGGCACTGTGACCTAGCCGAGCAGGCATTATTCCTCAGCATGGACGGGGATAGCATGGGAGTGAGGACGAAGAGGCTGCAGCATGTAGGAACAGGCAGTGATTGTTTTTGGAGTTTAGGAACTCAGGTAGCTGTGATGGTGGGAGAGAAGGGGGACAGACCTATGAAAGTCCTTGTCCTACTCCTAATTTCAGGCAGAAAGTTTTCTATTATGGCTTAGATCTAACATTTTCCTCAGGTCTCCTATGTGTGGAAGGTCACTGGATCATGGGGATCATCAGTGGATTAATCTAGTGATGAGTTCCAAGCTGAATGTGCTGTTAGGAGGTAGGGCCTGGCAGAAGGTGCGTCACTGGGACAATGACCTGGAAGGGTGTACAGAATTCTTGTACCTGGCTCTTCCCTTCTCCATCTGCTTCTTGTTATGTAGTGAGCAGCTTTCCTCTACCCAGGCTCTTCCATTATGCCATTCCTGGCTTGGAACCATGCGCTGAGCACACTGGAACTGGTGAGACAAACCTCTCTTCTTCTAAATTATCCCAGTGATGGGAAAGTAACACTCAGTTTTTCAACATTGAGTGTGATGTTTGCTATGCATTTTTCATTTATAGCTCTCTTAATAATTTGAAATAGTTTCCCTATATTTCTAGTTTGTTGAGTATTTTTTTATCATGACTGGTCACTGAATTTTTATTTTTAGTTTATTTTGCAGTGATGGAGGTCAAACCCAAGGTCTCATGCATACTACACATGTACTTTACCACAGAGCTATACACCCAGCCCCAGTTGTTGAATCTTCTCAGACATTTCTTCTGTATCAACTAAGTTGATTGTGTAGGTTTTTCCCCTTCATTCTGTTTATGTGGTATATTACACTGGTTAATTAATTACTTAATTTTTTGTGGTACCAGGGATCGAACTCAGGACCTTGTGCGTGCCAGGCAAGCACTTATTCCACTGAGCTATCTCCCTGGCCCTACACTGGTTAATTTTTGCATGCCACATCATCCTTGGCATAAATCTCACTTGGTCATGGTGAATAATCCTTTCGATATGCTCTGAAATTCACTTTGCCAGTATTTGTTGAGGATTTGTGCATTTGTTCATAAAGGATATAGGTCTGTTCAGTTTTGTTTGTTTGGCTTTTTTTTTTTTTTTTTTTTTTGGTCTTTTTTTTGTCACTGTCTTTGTCTGGCTTTGACATAAGGTAATGGTGGTCTCATAGTTAGGAAGTGGTTTTTCCTCTTCAGTTTTTTGGAAATGTTTGAGAAGGTATGATATTTGTTAAATATGTGATAGAATTTACTCATGATACCATCATTTGCAAGGCTTTTCTTTGTAGGAAGATTTTGGTTACTGATTCAAACTCTTCACTATTTACAGATATTCAGATTTTATACTTTTTGTGAGTTAGTTTTGTGTTTCAAGGGTGTGTTCATTTCATCTAGATTGTATCATCTGTTAGTGTGCAACTATTCATAGTGTTTATTATAATTCTTTTTATAGTGTCGTTTTGAGACTTTACACTGAACTCCCTGGCATGTTCTTATTTTTATTTTATTTTTTCTGATTTTGAGGTAGAGTACTGCTAAGTCACTAAATTGTCCAGGCTGAATTTAAACTTGCAATCATTTTGCCTTGCCTTAGCCCTTCTAGAGTGCTGGGATTATAGGCATTTGCTATCACACCCAGCTCCTTTATTTCTCAATCAATAGTAATGTACACATTTTATTTGATCATTTTAGTAATTTCACTCTTCTCTTTTTCCCTTAGTCCAGCCAGCTAAAGGATTGTCAGTTTTGTTGACCTTTAAAGAAAATCCTTTTGTTTTCAGTATTTATCTACTCATTTTATTTGTCTCTACTCTAATCTTCATTTCTTCCTTCCGATAACTTTGGATTTGGTTTGCTGGAATACTGAAACTGTACTACTTAAGCAATTGATAATGATTTTAATTTATCACTTTGGAAAATTTGGGGGGATTATTTTTTCAATGGATTAATTCATTAAATTGTTCATTGTGGTACCAGAGATTGAACTCAGGGCCTTTATACTGAGCTGTATCTTCAGCCTTTTAATTTTTTTATTTTTAGACAGGGTCTTGCAAAGTTATTAAATTCATCAAACTGAATGGACCGAAACTCACTATCCTTTTGTCTCAGCCTCCTGAAGTGGTGGGTTTACAGGGGTATATTGACTTACAGAAAAGTTACAAAGATAGGATGGAGAGCCCCTTTATACTCCCACCCACTTTCTGGGGTATGATGACATTGATAGTCCTGGTCTTGGAAGTTCTCAGGAAAGTTTGAAATGGTGTTGCGGTTTCTCATTTTTGTCTTTCTTCTTGAGATTAGCCAAAATTCTCGCTCCAGCCACTTGCTATCAGGCCTCTGGGGAACAAAAACTGCTGCTAAATCTCTTTTGTGGTGCTTTTATGGAAAAGTTATATTAAAAAACACCAGATCATGTTAGTGAGCACAATTAAAGATGAATTTCTTGGAATCAAGCACCTACTGTTGTGCCAGGAGGCCTCCCCAAAGATGAGCTTCTTGAACTCACTCATAGAATTACTGAGATTGAACTCGCTATAAGGAGTTGTGGATTCCAGGGTTGGGGATCCCCAAATTCCTGGAGGACAAATAGGGAATGCTATATTTAATGATATGCATTATTTAATGCTCTCAGGATAGCAAGTATGGTTGGCCCTCCTTGTCTATAGGTTTCTCATCCCACAGTCCTGCATCTGGGGGCCAACCTACCAGATGAAAAATATTTGAAGAAACGTGTACTGAACATGTACAGATTCTCTTTTTTAAAAAATAATACAATGTATATATTGTATTAGATGTTATAAACAATACATAGATGTTTTAAAGCATGTGGAAGACTCTGTGTATCCTGTAGGCAATTACTATACCATGTTGTAGAAGGGACTTGAGTACCCAGAGATTTTGGTATCCATAGGGGGTCGTGGAAAGAATCTCCCATGGATACTAAGGGAGGACCATAGCTAAGAATATGACCTTGAAGTCACATTTTCCAGATTATAATCCTGGTTGTATCACTTACTACTCATGGGATGTAGGGAAAGGATCTTAACATAACTGTGCCTTAGTTACCTCATCTTTCACTTGAGCTCAGAGTGCTCTCTAATTCAAAGGATGGTGGGAGAATTAAATGGATTGTGTTTATTTGCAACAGCACCTGGGTTGGTAAATGTTAGATCTTGTTAATGTAGCTATGACAACTCCTGTCATCTAGGATATGGGAGAATGGACTAAAATGAACCATTAAAAATGCTTTATTTATTTGGTACAGGATTTTGCTATGCAGTTTGAACTTATAGTGACCCTCCTGTCTCAGCCTCCCCAGCACTGGGATTGCAGGTGTGAGCCACCACACCATTTCATTGGCCAGCTCAGCGCACCCAGGGTTCCGGGACAGGCACAGCATGCAGTACTGGGGATCAAACTCAGCACCTTGTGCTTCCCAGGCAGGCATTTATGCAGCTGAGCTATATCCCTGGCCTGAAAAATGCTAGATGTTATTGATAAATGTATTATTTGTGCTTTATCTGAACAGAGACTCAGCCACCTGTGACAAATTTGAGTGTCTCTGTTGAAAACCTCTGCACAGTAATATGGACATGGAATCCTCCTGAGGGAGCCAGCCCAAATTGTAGCCTAAGGTATTTTAGTCATTTTGATGACCAACAGGAAAAGGTAAGTTTTCAGGTACATATTGTATTGATGGGGTAAAGTGAACAGTACAAATTCAGGCAAGGAATGAGTTAAGTTCTAATCAGATTTCAGAGTGTGGATTTTGAGTTGTACTCACATTTCAGTTGGGAAAAATTATGGAAACAGCTCATGAAAAAAATAGATCATTTAAAAATATTTGGTAATTATTGGATGATGAAATGTAATTGAGGTTATATGCAGGTATGAGAGTCCAAAAGTCAAATAGTAAATGACAAGTCTCTCTTTGACAACATCAGTCCCTAAAATGTAGTCCCTACATTCTTAAAGCATTCCTTTTTGATTTTGATCTTGAAGACTGGTTTTGTCTGTTTGGAATTCTATTTTGTATTTCCTTTAAACTTACTTTTAGGTGCTTGATGTGTTAACTTTCTGGGTTTATAGGTAAATATAATGCTTGTACCTTTGAATGTGAGAACTTATCTGTTCTATACATTAAGGTTTCTCAGTGATGGCACTACTGATATTTCTGAGTTATGGTTACTAAAAATGTTTCCAGACATTACTGAATGTCCTCAAGGATAGCAGCAGAGCAAACTCTGCCTGTCCTGAGAATCACTAATCTACACCATTTAAGAACTTGCCTTTCTTATACTTGTAGGCGTGCTAATAAATATTGTTAGGTGTACTTTTCCATGTTTGCTGCACTAATGCATTTTTAAATTTCCCAACCTCAGGAAATCGCTCCAGAAACTCATCGTTCAAAGGAAGTCCCCCTAAATGAGAAGATTTGTCTGCAGGTGGGGTCCCAGTGTAGTGCCAATGAAAGTGATAAGCGTAGCATTTTGCTGGAAAAGTGCATCTTACCCCTGGAAGGTAACATACAAAAAGCACAATCTTGGTATCTAGTGAATAGATCTGGATACTCCATGTTCATTGTTCATGAATTCATCCAATTTGCAAATTTTTGCTGTGTATTAGGGGCTGGCCACAGGATGGTGAGTCTGAGTATGCCTCTGTCTTCAAGGAAGTTCACAGACAAAACAAGTAACAATGCCTAGTAGATAACAGTACTTTTAACTTAAAAATGAATACACACAAACACTCCCAACACTGTGCCTTACATGCTTAGCTTAGCTTGTATATTATTGTCATGATCCATTTATGAGGAAAAAGGAAGCTGTGTGACTTGCTCCAGATTTTCAGATTCCAGGACTAGTACTTTTAAGTAAACCAAAATGCTATCTTAGCCAGGGAGATGGCTCAGTGCCTTAAGTTCCTGCCTAGCAAGCACAAGGTCCTGAGTTCGATCCCTGGAACCAAACCAAACCAGACCAAACCAAAAAAAAAGCAACCATGATGTATGGAAATTAATTTGGAATACAAGATGTATGTAAGGACATGCTGTTAAAAAGAAAAAGCATGCTAGCCTAAGTCAGTATATATGTGAGGTACTTAGGGTGATGTCGGGCAAAGAGCAAAGGCTGGACACATATTATCGATTAGTGCATATTGTCCTTTGGTTGAGTACATCATCTCCCAGCTCCAGACCTTAGCACTGTGGAGTCTACCTGCTTTGCACTGATTGAAAACTTATGAAGGACTATTGAGAAAATTATAAAATTCAAAACTTCTAGGAGAATGGGATCATAGTTTAAACAGCTTACCTACTCTATTCTCATTACAAAACAATTAGATTGTGACATCACTCCTCAAAGGATCATGAAGGATAAAAGTTTACGTTTTAAATAGAAGCATTTATATTAAAGACATGATAACTAAAGCAGCTTATAAAGAGTTCAGATCACAAAAATTTTAGAGCTCCTAAAAATCATAACACAAAATAAGCATTTATTAAGGACTCAGCTATGCTTCCCTTTCCCCAGAATTACTTCGGGAGATAAGCTGTTTATTTTTCTGTGCAGTATCAATCAAAAGACGTGAAGGTATATTGTACCTCCATAAAGTTTTTCTAAATACAGGAGCTGGAGTTGAGGGTGGAGCTAAAGGTTTGAGCATAGACTTAGCGTGTGATAGACCCTATGTTCAGTCCCATAACCAAAATAAATAAAATATAGGGATTTTTGTATTTCTGCATTTATTTAGGAATTCTGTGGTTATTGCCTGGTTGAAACATTTTAACCTCTCTGCAGTTATAGGTACAACAGTTAGAATCCTTCAGAGATAGCAAAGGTATTTTCCTTGAATCAGGAAGTGAGGAAGAAGGTTATAAACAAATTTGATTTGGGTTTTTGCCATGAGTGACTTCTGGGTAAAATGGGGTAAGATTAGAGATTAGTTTTGTGGGAAAACAGCCTGAAACACCCTCCCATCCCCCACGCGACAGAGCCATTCATATTCCAAGTCAAGAAGGGCCCTCACCTCTTGCCCGGATATTCTAGGTGATCCTGAGTCTGCTGTGACTGAGCTTCAGTGCATCTGGCACAACCTGAAGTTCATGAACTGTTCTTGGCTCCCTGGAAAGAATTCAAGTCCTGACACTAACTATACTCTTTACTATTGGTGAGTATGTATGTACAGTAAAACTACTGGACATCGTAGTATGATGATTTGGGGAGCTGTTAAATCCAACTGAGGTGAAAAAAGAACAGCTTATTCTCTTCCATAAAGGCAAGATGAGGGCAGTTTGCTTCAATGGAAAATATGTCTGCTTTGGGTGTCTACTTAAAAAAACTTTCTGTTTTTAACTATAGAGCCACAAAATATTATTGCAAAAAATGTATTAGGGCACTTCCTGTACCTTTCACCTAATTTATCTGAGTGGCAGCATCTTATGTAATTAGCTGTAGACTGTAATTGTGCTATTGCTCTGTAGAACACTGGACCTGAACCACACCCCAGCACCCAGCCCCATGTTTTGGTTCACATTATGCATTCACTCACTATCCCCTCTCCCTTCTCAAATGGGGATACTGAGTTAGTGGGAAAGCAGCCTTGAGAAGGGATGACCTAGCCGCAGTAATCTGCCCTCCACCTGGCCGTGACCCTGTAATTCTGTTTGCTAAAACAATGCTTAGTGAATGGGGTGTGTCCATTACTTCTGAGACTGCAGACAAACATGATCTTTCATCCTGAAGTGTCAGGCTAGGTGTGGCTCTGTGGTAAAGCTCTTGCCTAGCAATTGTGAAGCCCTAGGTTCTAGCTCCAGCTCTGTCAAAAGAAGGAAAAATGATCCTGGAGTGCCTTTGTTGCATGATGACTTGATGAAAGGTAATTATGGTGTCTGAGAACACTCATGGCTGTATCATGGGATAGAATGCACAAACCCCACATGTCATTTAAATTTTATTATTTTTAACATAAACTATTTTACACAGATTTATGAATTCATATTTAAGGGATATCATGCAATATGTCAATACTTGTATAGAATATATAATGTTAAAATAATGTTTAAATCAGGTTCATCATGTGTGTCTCCTCAACTCACATGAAGTTTTGAATGACAGCCTCTAAAGTGGCCTAAGGGTTAACATTCCCTCTCTTGCCCAATAGGAAGGATCTTTCTAGAAAAACTGAGAAGCGTATCAGGTGAATCCAGACAGCATTAAGATTTTGTGGTTCTTTCTGGAGGTTTTCTTCCCCCCCCTTCACTTAAGTAATTCTCACTTGAAGTTTTATTTGCCAACTTTTGGTACCTTTCTTTTTTAAAAAATCCTTCTTGGCTCTCTGATGGCTTTGGGATAAAGTAAAAAATCTTCAACAAGACAGAAAAAGTCCTTCATGACCTGGCTCCTTTTAACCTCTCAAGCGCTGGTCTCATGCTCTTCCTTCCACTCCTGCCCCTTTGAACTTTCAGTTTCTCAAAGTGAACCTAAAATACTCAGGCAGCACAATGGAATCCAAACTGACTATTCCTCAGAAGTATGGAAACATTCTGTCTAGAATGGAGCATGCCCTTGTAGCCCATGCCTTGCCCTTTCACCCAAAGCCTCTTATTTTTCTTCAGCTCAGCCCAGACAATGTTTCCTCACCAGAGAGCCTTCCATGACCTCTCAAGTCTACATACATGCTTATTCACTGTGTCCCACGACACCTTGTACTTTTGCGGGTCATAGTGCTCAGCACATTGTACTATCATTTCCTGTTTACTGAGTAGTTGCCTGCCCTCAGCTGCGATGTCCTTTGAGAAAATGATCTAGGGCTTGTTTCCCCTCGTGCTTGACACATGCTCGGTTTTCACATGCTCGGTTTTCCATAAATCACTTCTGAATGTCTGGTAAGATACAAAGCTCGAGAACATTGAGATTTGGGGTCAAAACTTAGGAAGTAGAAGCAACTCAGGAGCAGTATAGCTCAGGAATCAAGAGAGAATATGATTGAATAGAGCTGGCTCCCTGAAGACTTTGTAGTGAAATGAAGACTTTGTAGCAAAGCCACACAAAGAAGCAGGCCTTAGGAGTAGTCTGGCTCTGTTAGTGCTGTAGTAAAGTCTAGAAAAGCTGTTATTACAAACTTTTCAGGGGTCAAGGAGATAGCTCAGTGGAATAATTGCTTGCCTGGAAATCACAAGGTCCTGAGTTCGATCCCTGGTACCACACAAAAATAAAACAGGACCTGGGGAGATAGCTCAGTAGAATAAGCATTTGCCTGGCAAGCTCAGGGTCCTGAGTTCAATCTCTGGTACCGCAAAAAATAAAATAAAATAAAACAAAACAAACTTTTCAGTTGTCTTAGGAGTCAGTGCCATCCTTATGGCTATTATGCTATTAACCCCAGGGTCATTATGGGTAACCTACAGGGAGAACCTTTAAAGAACCTGTGTCTACATAAGCGGAAAGAAGTGAATAAAAGAAGTCTTAAAATATGTCTCATTGCACATTAGTCTGTGCAGGAGAGTAACCTAGCTATTACATCAGGATTACAATGGAGGTATATGATAGCCTAGTTGCTGAGGTTCTAGGACAATAAGAAAATGTCTCAGTGTGCACTAGCACAAACCAAGTCTCAGCATGAATTGTACAGAGTATCTCCTTGGGATGAATTAATTAGAGAAGAAATGGACTGACCAATTTGAAAGAGCATTCTATTTCTTGTGAATTGAAGTGTTGTTCTTCCTCTGGGCTGAAGAAGGCATTTGCAAAAGCTGACACAGATGGTACTTGTACTGGCTCTTAGGTCTCAGTTATTGGCTTTTTCTAAGGGACAATGTACAGCAGTTGGAGGTGTCACAGGAAGCAATCTGAAGAAAGTGGTGGTTAACTGGCATCCAAGGGGACAGGTGTCACAGATCCTACTTCTTGCCATACATATTCCCAGAGCTTGTCACCAGCAGGATCTCTTTCCACACTAAATACTTGGACTGTTCAACACAGGAGATGCTAGCTACATGCAGCTATTAGCATTTTAACTTGAAGTCATAAAAATTAAATGAAAATGTCATTTGTTCAGTGTCACTACCCATTTTGCAGTGGCTCTAGTATTAAATAGCACATAAAGGAAATATTTTCATCATCTCAGGCAACTCTGCTGGACAGGTTTGGTGTATGCTTTATCTTCTGCCTTCAGCACATCACACTACTTGAATTCAAATACTGGCTCTCTTGTGCCTAAGGAGAGTCACATGGAGAGAAAACATTCTCTCAGGCTTTCACAGAGAGCACATTGGCCAAGCAATGGCCGTGACTCATCCACATGGCTGACACTGACAAAGGTTCTACAATCTGAGGTACAAGATCTCAGGATAAATCCTGAGGGGATTTCACTGACCTTATCAGACCCAAAAGCTACAACTCTTGTTGCATAGGTCCTGCTTTACCTTGGTCTTAACCATACAGCAGGAAAGTATAAAAATGAAATATAAGAAGTAAAGCCTCTTGTGGAGAGACATGTGCAGGGGACCCAGGCCCCGCCAATTGCTGGTTTCCTGAGACTCTCATTGCATTTTGAGGGGGATGTAGTGTGGAATCTGTTTTGCTGTTGGTGTTTGCTCCAAGCATCTCACTGCGAAGGACAGAAAAGGTTACAAAATTTGGACTTTGGGTAGAAATTTCAAGGTAGTCGTTGGGTCCTGGCAGGTGTGCAAACAGAGCGGAACTGCTTGGCTTGAGCTTACCCTTTGGAGGTATTCTCTTCATGCCAGTTTTGGACATAGTTTGGGCATTGTTTCTGGGAGCCCCGAGTCCAGTTCTCCAGACCTCCTAAATGTAATTTTTTTTTTCAGTAAACTCCGTTTGGCCTTAAAAAAAAAAAAAAAAGAAGTAAAGCCATACTCTTACGTTGAGCTGTAGGGGACTGAGGTCAACAATTTCTGACATTGCCAGTCAAGTGGAACACCCGATACTATTATGGGCTACTGGACTCTTTTAGAATATTTTGCTGAGTTTGCATACCTATAATATTTAAATGATGGAACTTAACAAACAAAAAAGGGGTACAGATGAATGTCCATTTTGTATGTGTGTATTCTAAGTGGTTAGGATAGATATATAATTACATTCTCTTAATGAATAGAGGGATTTGTTCTAATGGTGTTTGTAAATAGGATATCATGTCTGCATCTTGTACAGCAATTAACCATTAGGAAGAATGTATGCAATGTGTTAATTATTGAAACTGCCCTACCAATTTGATTTGAAACTGTCTCATTGCTCTTTGTTTCTCAATAAAATTGTGGGAAAAAAGTCCCAAAAAACAAATACTGGCTCTCTTCCTTATTAGAAATATGATTTGGGGCCTTCTCTCTGATCTTCAGTTCTACAATCTATAGAACGGAGATAGTGATATTAGTTTCTACTCGTCAAGGCTGTCATGAGGGCTGTTGCTGTACTGAAGTGTTTGGGGGCTGTAACTAACTGCTAGCATGTATAGAGTAAGCACTCAGTACACGATAGCTGCTGCTCCCAGTGTTATTCATCCCCACTCCCTTACAGATATCATCAGCACACAGTGCCAGCCTCTTCTCCATCTCGTAGAGCTGGCACTGAGCTCATACCTCTTCTCTTCCTTGCTCTCCCCTACATAGATTCTTTCCAGTCCAAACCACAAAACCAAGGAAGCTCATGGTGCTCATTAGGTCCTGGTGTAAATCATATCACACAAATGGGCAAAGGCCATTTTCATAAATCCCCCACTGGAAAGCATGGAGTCATTTTTAAATTCTTTGACGCCCCAAGGCAGTAACTTGTGTCTGCAGGGATAGTCTGGCATTGAAAAGAGCGTGATTTGAATAGCTACAGACCAGCCAGGGCAATGAACTTTAGGGAATTTCTTACCACATTAATCATCTTCAGAGTTAGAAAAATAGTCTTTATTTTGTCCATTTCCTGTCTACAGTGTGATTCTGCAGAGGAATACAGTATATAAATTTTAATAGGATCATCTGCTTTTCTTAGGTTGTCATGTAATTTTTCAAAAGAAATTTTAAAAACTTGTCTACTGAAATCCATTATTCTCCCCCTTATTACTATTTCTAAATTACAATAAAATTGTTTTGAAAATTTCACATCTGGGCCAGGTATGGTGCCACATGCTTGTAATCCCAGTACTCAGGAGGGAGGCAGGAGGATTACTGTAAGTTCAAAGCCAGCGTGAACTACATAGTGATACCTTGTGTTATCTCAAACAATGAAAAAAAATTACTTTTGGGTTCAGAGATAGTACAAAAATGAAAAAGATATCTAAAAGCCCATTGGAGGAGTTCATTCTATTATTAAAATAAATAATTTTGTACATAGTTTTATTTAGTTATGAAGAAAAATGTCATTAATTTCTTTAGTTTCTGTTTCTGCCTGTGAGTAGGAAACATGATAGGACCGTGTGATCCAAAAACTAGCCATGACAATAGCTTATTTTTGTAAGAACTGTTTCCTCACATAAACTCCAGAGACCTATAACTAGGAGAATAGTTTTTCTCTTGAAGAACAAGATTTTTTTTCTTAAAGAACATTTTCTCTGGAAGGAAAAGATCATTTCTATGCTTAAGCCTTCTTTGCCAAGCCTTTGAAGGGGTAATTATATTAGATCTGAAGTTCTTAAAAGGCTACCTGTTTATTTCATTTAATTAATTTATTCATTTATTTTTTGTGGTACTAGATGGAACCCAGGGCCTCAAACATGCAAGGCAAGCACTCTAGCACTGAGCTATATCCCCAGTTTTTTAAAAACCTAATTTGTATCAGAATCCTCTGGGGACATTTCTGTTGGAATGCTAATTCCTAGATCAAGATAAACCCTTCTACATTGAATTCTCGAAAAGGGTTTAAGGGATCAGCACCTTCAATTGGTCTAAATAATTGTGAGTTAATATGACAAAGGTTTGGAGCTCTGCTCTCTGTTCATTTCTTAGAAATTGTCTTCCTTTTCTGCAGAACCTTTACACAACTCCCATTGTGGCTAATGATGTAAAGCCTGGCTCTATCTTCTGCCAGTCACTAAAAAACAGTTCTCTGATAGCCTAGACAAATATGTATTTTGGAGCACATTCTGTCTATTTGCACTGTGTAAATGCTGATAGTCATTGGTGAAAGAAAACATTTAAAGCCACACAGTGGAGGAGGACACTTGGGAAGCTATTGTGTTCTGGACCTATGTGGCAGCAACTGAAGGGCAAGGACCTTAATAATAAAAGTCAGAGAGTTCAAGCTGGAGAAGGCATTAAGCCTAAAGCAATGAAATCATGAATGAGGGTGTGGGCAGTGGGACTATCACAGCAGATAAAAATCCAAGAAGCTCTGCATCAAAATTTAGTGGCAGAATATAGGGAAAGGAGGAAAAAGGTGATTTCAAAATTCTGCAGAGCCTAGAGAAAATGAACTCCTGAGTGATGGAAATGGGAAGGTCGGCAGAAAGGGCAGTGTGGTGGGGAAGAGGATGTATGGCATGTGCTGGGCACTGACTGTGAAGCAAAAGTGGAACACTAACATGTAGCCATTTGAAGTCTGGGACTAGCGCTAAGATGAGAGGTTCAGCCCGGGAACCCCTAGAATAGAAATTACTGTATAGGGGAGGAATGGGTGTGATAATACTGGGAGTAGGTGGCTGAGTGAGTCAGAAATACAGAAGATTGTAGCATCCTCTGGGAAGAGGAAAGAAGGAGAGAAATGAGCCAAGAAAACGATAAAGGAAGCAGGCAGAGAGACCAGAAGGAAGCTATGGGTCTAGTACATTGGCCTTTTCCAGAAGCATAAACCTTGGCCTGGCTTCAGAACACTTTCCTCATATTTCTTCTCATAAGAAGGTCAGAATCCTGTAGTTTTCACAGCTGTTGACGATACTGACATCCATCACCAAAGAATAGCTTTGCCTTTTAGACAGTGAAGTGAGCCATATTTTAAGACAGGGGTTTTAAAAAGCTATCTTGCCTTTCTGCAAATATTGCTTTCAAAGGACATCTCCTACAGTCAGTAAAAAGTTCTGCTCTTATCCCTTGATTATCCCATTCAAAATAATATAAGAGTTGTGTCATTTTCTCTTATAGGCACAGCAACCTGGGAAAAATTCTTCAGTGTGTAAATATCTACAAAGAAGACCAATACATCGGTTGTTCCTTTGATCTGAGTAAAGTGAAGGATTCCAATTCTGAACACAGTGTCCAAGTAATGGTCAAGGATAATGCAGGAAAAATTAGGCCGTCCTTCCATATAGTGCCTTTAACATCCCGTGGTAAGTTCTAGAAATCCTTTATAACTGTGCAGATAAATGTGGCTTATTTCTTTTGAAGTCAGTGTAATTGGTAAGAAAATGATGCTTGGTCTTCCATTTTCCTAAAACAAGAGACTACATGTACGTAGCCTTTCTTTAATAGATCCTTTTTAAATAAGCAAGCTTGGAAATTGTACTTCTGGAGCACATGTGCCAGATGCTTTAGCCTTGTACTTAGGAGCATGCTGAGACTTGGAGCAATTAGTTGTAGAACCAGTATTGAAATTCAGGCTGTGTGACTATAAAACCTATTCTCTTTCACTTATGATACTTGAAAAGATGAAGCTTATATGATCGTATAGTTCCTGAATTTCTTTTAGAAAAAGCTTAGAATGAAGGTGATATAATCAGTTGTTATATTAAAAGGTTTTTTGATGATGGATATTGATCTCATAGCTTCAAAAATGCTTAACAGATTCTCTACCACCAAGTTACACCTCCAGTTCCATGTTCAAAATATTTAACATTCTTTATGGCACAGGCACCGATTGGTCAGAACAACCAGGATAGCCACGTGTGGGTGTATGAATTGCATATCAGCCTGTTAGAAAGAGGCCTTCACTTGAGTATAGAATATCTGATTGAGGTCCTAACTCCACTTTGGACAAGGCATATGAACCCTCCCCAAGTGTTTCCTTATCTTTAAAGTGGAGTATATGGTTCCTTTTGACCTCAAAGAATTGTCATTAGGTCCAGACAACAGAAGGTTTATAAAAGCATTTTGTAAATCTCTGAAGAAAATACCATCTTCATGCTGGCTTATTTGTTCCATTATCCTTATAAGGAGGTTGGATTTTGGCTTAGTGCTGTAGAGATGATTTATAGGCAAAGAGCTGTCCTTTGGCCAAGGATCCCACGTCTATAAGCAGAACATTACTTATAACCTCTTCAGATAGTTGTTGAAGTAAATTCTTCCACAGAAGGCCAAAGCCAGCTTGGTTTGTAGGCCAGGGGAGTAGGGTCAGGATAGTTTTCCAAGTAGGATATAATGAAGCAAAACTTTCTCTTTCCACCCACTTTTTGGACAGATTATTCTAGATATACTTTTTAGGCTTATGTATGTTGATTTTTCTTCTTTCTGGAATTAATGATAACGTAAAGGACAATTCTTAGCCAGACGATGATACCTAAGAGTTGTTTTCTGTTAATTATCCATTAATTTCTGTTGGTTGGTCTTAAGTATACCTGACTCCAACAAAGGTAAATTGACCTGGCTAATGATTTTTATAAAATTTTATTCTTAATTGTGGTTATGATTGTGTAATATTGATTTTACCATCACAATTGCATTTAAGTGTAAAGTTCAGTAGTATTAAGCATATTCAGATTGTTGTGCAATGGACACCTGGAACTTTTCATCCTTTCAAACTGAAACTCTATAACTTACATTTCAATGTAAACTGAAACTGTTTGCACTAAGTACAAATTTCCCTGTCCCCAAGTCCTTGGCTTTATTTGATGAACATTTCAACTTTGTTTCTGTGAACTTGATTCCGCGACATCATGTTAGTGGAGTTATACAGTAATTATTTTTTGTGATGGCTTATTATAGTAGATGTCATGCTCTCAAGGTTCACCTATGTCAAAGCGTGTGACAGAGACTAGGCTAATGTTTTCATTGTGGGCTCTGATTAGAATGAGTGAATGACAGCTAGGACATCCCTTTGTACCTGGTGCTTTGTTACCCATCAAGTAGGGGCACATCTGGACCTAGGTACTTGTTTTCTTTATTCTTTATGTTACAGTTAGATGTCCTGATTATAACAAGCCATTTTTGTAACCAGCTGCAGGTCAGAGTTTGGATTACATTTAAATTCACTTTACTAAGCAGTTTTTAAAATCTTGTTTTTAAAAACTTTTTTGTAGACCAGACTGGCCTTGAACCTAGGCTGGCCTCAAACTTCTTAATGCTGAGGTTCAGGCATGACACACCATGCTTGGCTGCTAGGCAGTTTTAAGTAAGCTTCTTCCACTAATTGTGCCTAACCAGAAATTCTAAACTCCTGTATCTCATTGTATAAAGGCATTAAAAAATATTGGCCCTCTTGGGATTTAACCTTGTGAACCATTGTCTATTTTCTATGTATATACTCCAATTTTGGAATCTAAATTTACTTTCTTCTATCTTTCAGTGAAGCCTGATCCTCCACATATCAGAAGTCTTCTATTCAAAGAAGGTAGCTTATATGTGCAGTGGGAGAATCCACCACATTTTCAGAGCAGATGCTTATCTTATGAAATAGAAGTCAATAAGAGCCAAACCGAGACACATGATATTTTCTCTGTAAGTTTTTTAGATTATTATTTCTCCTTGGATAAAAGGGGGCGGGGCTGGCTGGCATATGGTGCTGGGGGATTGAACCATGGTCCCTGTGTTTTTTTGCTAAGCTTGTTTTAGGTAGGTGCTTTAGACCACTGAGCCATCTCACCAGCCCTTTACTTGAATTTCTTATGTTGAAATATGAATTAAATAAAGCTCTTGCATTTGTTATCAGATGATAATAAAGAAACTTCTTGTCTGAATAGGGCAATGTGGAAAGTTTGAGGGTTTGTGTTGGTATGTGCTGCAGGGTTCAAAACATTAATTTGTTCATTGTAAATTTTGTTTCCTTTTTTCTTTTGGTTCTGGGAATTGAACCCAAGGCCTCACGTCTACAACCTTTTAGATTTTTTGAGATAATGTACCATGAAGTTGCCTAGGCTGACATCAAACTTAGCAATCCTCTTGCCTCAGCCTCCTGAGTAGCTAAGAAAATAGAGAGGCATCGCTGTACCTGGCTAAAATACTCAGGAAACCAACATTTTGGGGCCATTAAAAAAATCTATATATTTGGGTTTTTTTCAGTGCTGGAGCTTGAGCAGAGGGCCTAATGCATGTCAGGTAAACACTCTGCTATTGAACTATACCTCTGCTGCTTGCTCTACAGATTTTTATTAGGTGTCTACCATTTGCCAAGTTCATTTTATGCATGGGGAATAAGGCAGCAAATGTGACACTTGATGAACAAGTTTTTTTTTCACAAAGCTTATATATTAGCAAATAAGTATGTTGGAATGAGCAAGCTAATTTCAGATCCTGAGTACTGTGACGAAAATAAAATGGGGTTATGTAATAGAATGACTGGGAGGGTCCTGTGAAGATCTGAAGTTGGCACGGACAGCAAATACAATGACTGAGGCAAAAATGAGCTTGACACGTGTGGGAAAACAAAAACAGAGCTGGCGTGGTCAGCATAGAGTAGGAAAAAATGGCTAAGCAGAATGCAGAGATCAGAGCCTCTAGATTCTTGCAGCGTTTTCCAAGAACCGTTTCATTTTCTTGTTGTGTGTGCCAAGGAAGGTAGACAATTTTGAGTACAGTAGTCAGTATTTGTTGGGTTATGTATACCTCTGCTATTCAGAATCTAATACAAAACATTGCCATTAGATAGCCCTCTGAGCCAGTGAATGGAGTGTGGTAATCTCAGAGCACCAGTGTTATGGTGAGGCTTAGAGAAGGGGTCACACATTAAGGCCTTCTATGCTTAGGTGTGGATCACAGACAAAGGGGGGAGCTTGTGCTTTTTTTATTGTATGTCATTTTTTTTCACCCGGACTTAAAATCATGCTGCTCTGGGCACCTATTTCCATGAGGTGGTGCCTCAAGACTTCAGGGACTGCACCACTCACCCTATTGCTTTCAATATGTGCCTTTTGCACGGTTCCTTTAAATTTTAGAGGTTAGATGCAAGATGTTGTTCATTGGCTTTGAAAAGAGCCCAACAACTTATATGTGGACAAATTCCTCAGTGCAGTTGTTTTAGTTTATTATAAAACTTTTCAAAACACTAACTAAAATAAGCCAGTGTTGACAAGTGATCACTCCAGAGGGAGTGACTGGACATTAGCAGATGACTCTGCTCAGTATAATCATCATTACAACCAGAAGCCACAGTGTTCCCATGAAAGAGTGCAGAGGGCAGAAGCAGAGGCTTCCATGTAGGGAAGGGTGTAATGCTTAAATTTATAAGAAAACAATTCATCCAAAACCTGAAATATTTTGATTTGTTTAGCCTTAATGATCCCCTGGGTATCATATTCTGAGACATGTGCTAATTATGTAAACTAACTTTACTCCTCAGTTACAGCCTACATTTGAAAACTTGACCATGTATATGGCTTTTCTTTCCACTAAAAATATAAATTCCTGTAGAGCAGAGCCAGATGGTATCTATTTTGTGCTGTTCTTGTTAGTAATAGCAGCTAATATGTACTGAATGCTGACTATGTACCAAGTGTATTAGTAAATACTATATCTGAATTATCTGAGAGCTCACAGTAACCCTGAAGATCTTGGTTCTATTATTTGATACCCATTTTACCCATGAGAAATCTTAGTTACTCCTAAGATCCCATTTCCAGTAAGAGGTAGACTTAAGCAAACTTAACTACATGATTTAAGCAAACTTAACTACAAAGCTTGTATTTGTAATCATAGGAAACTACTTCAGTACTTCCTCTTAATACAAATAGCTGCAATTTACTTATTAAGTGTTTAGAATGTACCACAAAGATACCCCTCTACGGCATCTTATACAATAGCTTATAACAACCCCCACAAAGAACTATTATAACCTAAATATTTTTAAGGAACTAAGATTAAAAAAGTTTAAGTAACTTGCTATAGTTCATAACAAATGATAAGTTAATGTGGTTTCAGAGGTTTCAAAGGTTAGTTGGTTGGTCTCCACGTATTGAACTTTAACCAGTAATACTTGGTGTAACACCATAACCATAATCATCACTTAATGAAGTCTTATCAAAGTAAGTTACTTTTATTTTTATGAACTTCCAAACTAAAGAGAACACATACACTATAAACATTATCTACACAAATCAGAAATATAGTCTTCTTGGAATTAATTCTGTTTATGCACTTGACTTGAATTTTCTTTCTTTTGGTAGACGTTCACCAGCTGTTTCCCTCCCTAGAATGTTATCAATTCTTGTTTGTTTGTTCTTTTGTTTGTTTGAGACAGAGTCTTGCTGTGTACTTCAGGTTGGCCTTGAACTCACATGTAGCCTATGCTAGCCTCAAACTCTCAGCAGCCCTGCCTCAGCCTTCCAAGTGCTGATATTACAGGCACCAGCCACCATGCCTGGTTTTAGAGTGTCATCCATTCTTTGTGTCCTTACTGATTTTGAGCTGTTCAGGTTAGACCTATTTTTTTTCTTTTTGTAATACTATTTGATGAATTATTTTTCCTGGTGTTAACAGTTAAGAAAGGGAAGTAAGACAGAATATGATCTGTACCATCACAAGGGAATTGTGCTCAGAGTTAGCTCAAGACAAAATTATGAAATAAGGAATGCCTTGTTTTATTACCACCATCCATCCTTAAAAACTATCTACTTGATGCTCTGTGGCCTTGTTTTCCAGCTCTCAGAAATATCTGAGTAGCTGATAAACTACATGAGAAGATTTACATTTGAGTAAGAGCCTAGAGATTTAAATCTATTCAATGACTTACTGACTTTGGAATTTATGTATTTGGCAGATGGTCCAGGGAAGGAGGGACATCAGTCCCCCAAGTGGTAGTTGGCACTGGGGATTCTCCAACAGGTCTGTAGTCCCAAATAGCCAGCAGTGGGACAGAATAGCCCCCTGAGTGGCTCTTCTTCTGACCTTGTATGAAATATTGAAAATGTAGTCCTTTGTTGTTCCATTAACCTTTCAGGTTTTCACATATACCAGTAGAAACCATTTAGTAAGTCACAATAAATGTCAAAATTAATGGATGCATGTCGTCTTTGTTCCATGTTTAAATGTCTTTAATAGAAGTTGACTAAGCAACAGACTTTTCATTTCATTCTTTAAAAGCTTGCATTTAAGGAAATGATTATTCTTTTTATGTCAGATAGCAAGTAGCTTATATTGTGTGGAGAATTCTAAATTATGAATTCTTTTCTCCAACTTAGTCATTCTTATATCTTATACTCTGAACAAGAAAGGCAGGTCTGGCTGTCTCTCTTGCTCTCTCATCTCAAAACTTTTTACTGATGTATAATGCATGCTACTAAAAATTGCACAGATTGGGCTGGCCAAATAGCTCAGGTGATTAAAGGCCTGCAAGCAGGTGCAGGGGCCAGGGGTTTGATCCCTGGATCTGCCATGCTGGCCCCGCCCCTGGGGCATGCTGAGACAGCAATTGAGACTGGGTGTAGTGGTGTGCACCTCTAATCCCAGCTCTTGGGAGGCTGTAAACAGATGGATCACTACAAGTCCAATCTAGTAGTGAGACCCCAAACACCTGTAGACCCTTCCCTAAAAAATACAAAAAGAAAAGAGATACCTTTTGGACTGGAGAGGTAGCCCAGTGGCATATATAACTGCTTGCCTTGCAAGTGCAGTGTCCTGAGTTCAATCCCTGGTACCGCAAAAAAAAAAAAAAAGAGATCATAATGCAGTGGTACCTTGGTTCATGAACGCTTTTGTTTGCAGTGTTTGACAATTTTTGTTTGTTTACTAACTTTGCATCTGGAGACAAGCACAACTGCAGCTGACTCTCCCACACAAACACAAACATGGCTGTCTTTTCCAAAATCATGGAACAAATCAATTTCATGAACCAACCAAGGTGTCAGTATATGCAGGTCAGTGATTGTTTTCATGCAAGTTTTTCTTTTTTTCTTTTTCTTTTCTTTTTTGTGGTATCGGGGATTGAACTCAGCACCTTGCGCTTTCCAGGCAAGTGCTTATTCTACTGAGCTATCTCCCTGGCCCAGTGATTGTTTTCATAAGCAGTTTTTGCAGATGACTTTCTGCCCATGTTACCAGTACCCCAGAAGACCCCTCAAGACCACCTTAAGTTGCTACTCTCCCAGAGAGCAACTACATCTTGACTTCTAATCTCATAGAAGTGTTCTGTTACTGATTTTAAACCTTATTATAAATGAAATTATACAAAATGTATTTTTATATTTCTATTCCTTTTTTCATTCAAGATTATAAGATTCTCCAAAAAATCTTTCCTATAGTTGTAGATGGCTCATTCTTAGTATATACATATTCCATTATGTGAATATTTCGCTATTCATTACCTCACCAATTTGGACAAGTTCCAGTGTAGGGTAGTATAAATAGAGTTTTGTGAGCACTTACACACTTATCTCTGGGTGCATATGTGTATACATTTCTGTTGGACATATATAATATGAGGTTTGTAAGATTACATGTGATTGTAGCTGGTAGATACCACTTTTTCTCAATTGTGCCAATTTACGCTATCAAGCAGAAATTGAGAATTCTGTATGGTTCATGTTCACCATTTGGTATTCCGTCTAGTGTGTGTATCATTATCTTATAGATTTAATTTGCATTTCCCTGGTTATCATTGGAGTGGAGTACTTTTTCATATGTTTACTGGGAGTTTACATATTTTCTTGGGAAGTGTCTGTTAAGTCTTTTGCCACTTTTCTTATGATTTATCTTTCATATAAATTTGCAGAGAAAAGAATATATACAAGACCCTAGTCAGAAATTACGAAATGTTCTTTCCATCTACATATTTCCTGTTATTTCCCTACTAGATTATCACTTGATAAACAGAAGTATTAAATTTTAATGCATACACCTTTATAAACATTTTCTATTTACTAGTGTGAGATTTAGGGGTGCTTTTTAAGAAATCTTCCTTTTTCAAGGCCACAATAATGTTCTATGCATTCATCTAAACATTTGTTATGCTTATGGGTTTATGTGTTGATTTTATTTTCCTTATTTAGATCTGAAATATATTTGAAATTGAGCTTGTGAATAGTGTGAGATAGGAGGTCAAGATTCTATTTTTCCCATATAGATATGTAATTGATTCAGCACAACTTGTTAATAAGGCCAATCCTTTTTGTACTGTATGTGGTCCTCTTTTAATGGGCTATAAGGAAATTTGTTAGAAATAGATCGATGATATAAAATGTTTGTTTTTAATTTGGAGCTCATTCATTTTTTAATTTTTAAGACTGACGAGGGTGGATGTCAGAATGCAGTGTTTGAGAGAAACATCAAGGTCAGTAAATTTAACTTTATTTTTATTTATTCATTTATTTTGTATTTTAGGGAAGGGTCTACAGGGTGTTCAGTGTCTCACTACTAGATCGGACTCATAGTGATCCGCCTGTTTACAGCCTCCCAAGAGCTGGGAGGTGCATGCCATCTCACCCAGTCTCAATTGCTGTCCCAGCACACCCCAGGGGCAGGGCCAGCATGGCAGGCCTGGTTGTTGAACCCCCGGCTCTGTGCCTGCTTACAGGCTCTTTAATCTGTTGAGTTATTTGGCCAGCCCAGTAAATTTAACTTTAGTGATTTGGGCTTAGATTTCAAATAATAGGGGTTGGAGCAGGCCTGGCACAGGGTAAATCTGATCTGCTATCAGAAAAATAAAGTACTTGTTCTGTGGGTTATTGCCAACTTGGAGTCAAAGACAGATCACTTAAATTGTTATCAGTCTTGAGCATATACAGAATCTGGCAGATAATTATACTGTGATTCAATAGCAGACAAAGAATAAACTGGTAATAATGTTTGTGTGTTTTTATGTCTAAGGATACAACTTGTTTCATGGTCTCTGGAGTTCTTCCTGATACTTTTTACACAGTTAGAATAAGAGTCAAGACAAATAAATTATGCTATGAGGATGATGAACTGTGGAGTAACTGGAGTCAAGTGATGGGTATAGGTAAGTAAACAGAAATTTCATTAAAATTTAAAACATTAATGCTGAAGCAGAAAATTAACTGGGGAAAAGGATGTTATACCTTCTTGATGTCAGCCAAATGGTACTTATAATTTAATTGCATCTTCTGTTTAATTAGTATCAAGTCACCCAGTGTTCGTTGACAATATATAACTATTTGGAAAACCACAATCACGATAGTCAATAGTGTTATTTTCACTTCCGTCCCACCTCCATCTTCGTTAGCAACATGAACAAAGACATAGAAGGCAGGCATGATCAAATATGCAGGTTTTACCATGCTAGTGGACTGTACTATATGTTGGTTGATTGAATCAAGGACAAATCAGTAATCTTGTTGGCATTTCATAGACATAAACCTGTATCTAGATTGGAGGAAAAATCACTTGCCAGTGGAGACACTGAGCAGTCCCTGCTCAGGTACAGGATTGGAAAGACCTGAGCTTTATACACATGTATGGTAAAGTGGAGTATAGGACTTCACTTGACTGTAAACTCAATGGGACTCAACAAAGTGTCTTCAAAAGGAATATGTGGTTTTGGGCAGCAGTGCTAGAATGGGGGCTGCGGTCCTAGTCCTGGGTGGCACACAGTGATCTGGACACATTGGAAGTATGCAGCATCCCATTCTGAGCACCGTATTGCAGGAAATGCAGTGACAGACCAGACTCTGTCCTTGAAAGTGGAATCAGGATGTTGAAGAACCTCAGATCTTGGTGAGAAACAATTGGCAGAATTGCTGAATTCTAATATGTGTGGTATTGTCAAGTTGAAATGGAAATACGCTTTCTTCCTTTTTGTGATTCCAGAGTGCAACAAAGAACCAACTTTTAAATAGGTGTGTAAGACTCAGAGATGGGTTGTTGAGGAAGTCACTTCTCTTATTAATTGCTAGGTCAAACAAATTGTCTGCTGGTGGAAGGTTATATTAGTTATTTATTGTTGCAAAGCAAATTATTTCAAAGTTGAGTGTCTGTAAGCAATGCACATTTATCATCTTACTGTTTCTGTGGGTCAAGAATCTAGGCACAGATGGCCTCAAGATGTTACAGTCCAGCTCTTTAGAAGGATTATAGTCTTGAGTGCAGGCTTGGGTGGGGCTGAAGAATCCATTTCCAAGCTTCCTCCTGTGGATGGTGCAAAGCCTCAGTTCCTCACTGATCACTGGATGTAGGCTCTGGCAGGTTGAATTGTGTTCTCTCAAAATGATATGTTCAAGTCTCAATCTCCAGGACCTGGGAATGTGAACTTTTTTGGAAATACAGTTTTTGTGGATATAATCAACTGAAGATGAGGTTGTATTGTTTTAAAGTGAACCCTACATCTAATAACTAAGTGTTCTTATCAGAAAAGGAAACACGGAGACAGAGATACATATACACACAAAAAGACAGCCACGTGAAGATGGAGGCAGAGGTTGAGTGATGCAGAGATTCCATTCCAGGGTCCATGAGAATCTAGGAAGAAGCAAGGAGAGATTCTTCTCCAGAGTCTTCAGAGGGAACATGACCTTGTGGATACTTTGGTTTTGAACTTCTAGCCTCCCCAACTGTGAAAAAATAAATTTCTGTGGTTTTAGCACCTACTTGTGGTTATTTGTTGCAACAGCCTCCAGGAACTAGTACAGAGGCTTTCCTTAGTCACCCGGCACTTAGCCCTCTGCACAGGGTTAGCTCCTGCCAGAGTAGCTGCCCTCTCCAAGTGAGGGATCCAAGCAAGGAAGAATGTGTGAGAAAACACCCATTGTGGACACCATAGTTCTTTCTCACCTAATTTTGGAAATGATGCCCCATCACTGCTGCTGTTTGATTATTTAAAAGCAAGTCAGCTAGTACAGTCCATGTTCAAAGGGAGGGGATTTCAGAAGAATGATTACCAAGAGGCAGGAATCATTTGAAATTGTCTTAGAGATTGCCTCAAACAACAGTGTTTGGCCTTGACACTTCTTTGAGATTGTGCCATTGTGGGAAAGAGGACCACATAAACAGACAAGTGGCATTCTGTGTGTTATGTGTATGCAGGCTTTGGAATGGATGATGCTATATGTTAGACCTCCCTGAATTGTGTACTAAACACTTCTGATGAATTACTGATCCTGCTGAGCTTTTATCCTTCTTATCTGTGTAAATGGGAGATAATGCTGTCTGTCTGTCTTACATACATAGGAGATAAGCATGTTGAAGCACTTAACTGGAGCTTGCTTGAGAATAGCAGTCATGGTAGCTATTGTTAGGTGTTCTAGTAGTGGAAAATAAGTAGTAAGAAAAGATAGTCACTGTTTGAGATGACATGTTTAATAGATGTGATCTCTTATATCTTTTTGTGTCTAAAACTCAAGATATCCTGATATAAGATGTTAAGATATCCTGATTATAGTCAACCCTAAGGTGATTATTCATCCTGGAATTTTTAGGCACTATAATAGGACATTAATTATTAAGGTAGCAGAAATCATCTTTAAAAAAATAGGTTGGGCTAGGAGGCAGAAATAACAATAGCTAACAAAATTGTCCCCTGTTTTATTACTAAAATGGCTCTAGTTTTTATGTCTTTCTGTTTGCTTTCCATCCTTCAGGTAAGAAGCCTAATTCCACATTTTACATGACTGTGTTACTCATCATCCCGGTCATCGTTGCGGGTGCGATCATTGTCCTTCTGCTTTACCTAAAAAGGTGAGGCTCCTGCCAGGACAGATTTTAGTTTCTGCTAGCCTGGTTACTATGGCTATTATTCTTGGAGCTTTTTAAAATATTTTCCCAGCGTATTAGAAGCATTTTCACCCTAAATGGCTTTCGATGGCATGACATGAGCAAAAGAAGTACTCTTTGTGCCCATTTGCTGGTGAGGTTAGGGCTCTGCTCAAATATTGCTTCTTTTGGACATTTTTAGCATTGTTGAATAGGCTCTGCATTCATTTTCTCACTCACATGTTTAATTTATCAAGGGGTATTTAGTAGCTCATACAATGAAGTTGTAGAACTAGAAGCCGGGAGTGTACCTCAGAGGTAAAGCCCATGATTAGCGTATCTGAATCCCTGGTGTTGAACCCCAGCACCAAAGAAGAAAAGAGAAATGAAGATTATTGTCAATGAGATGACTTAAGTAGTACTAATGCAAGCAGAGTGCCACCTAAAGCTACAACAATGAAGACTTCACAGATTGTCACTAATAGATGGAGCTCATTCCTTAAGAATATTCTGTTTTCTCTATCTCCTTGCAAGCAGTTTTACTTGCTGTTGCTATTAACTAGGTAAGATTGGAATAAGGCTATTAATCCAGGTCCGGTACCAACATTTTATATTTCAACATTATTTAATTATGCATATTATACACCAAATGCCTATTCATGGGCCATACACTGCCCTAAGTGCTGGTGTTAGAACACTGAAAAGGACAAAGTCCCTATCTGTATGCTATTAGGGTGCACGCGCGTACACATACACATACACTTCACGTAGTGAAAAATAAAGTTGCAAGTTCGCAGGGGATGGGCTAGTTAGTGGCTATGAATACATTTTACATAGAAAAGTCAGGGAGGTCTCTCTGAGTGACATTTGAGGAGAGAAATAGAGGAGTGAACCAGTAAAATATTTGAGTAAAGAGCATCCCAGCCCAACTCAATAGCAAGTGCAAAGGCCTTAGGGCTGGAGTAAGCTTAGTGTGTCTGGTGGTTGGGGGAGAGACAGATAGTGAGACTGAGACATAGAAAGAGAGACAAAGAGACAGAAGGAGAGAGACAGACAAAGAGACACAGAGGCAGACAGAGACAGAGAGAGACAGACAGACAGACTGGTGGCTGGAGGGGAAACAACAGAGAAGTTGGCAGACCAGACAGTGCAGTCCATGGAGAGGAACTAAGTTTTTTTCTTAGCACAATTGAAGATATTAGAGCATTTTAAGGAGGGAAAGAGTGTGGCCTGAGGAAAGGATCACTGTTGCTTCTGAGTGAAGAATTGACTTTTACAAGTGTGGGAGCAGGTAGACTAGTTAGCAGGCATTGTAGTATTTGGGGTGTAAGATGAAGACAGCCTATAATAGAGGGTTAGCGATAAAGGTAGGAAAAAGTGATCAGGTTATGCAATATACTTTGGAAATACAATTGACAAAGCTTGCTGGTAGCTGCTTCTCTGTGGCAGTGTGAGGGAAATTGAGGATTCGAGGATACCCAGTAAGAGTTTCATACATAAACAACTAAGTGTTGGTGCCGTCTGTGAGACAGAGAAGACTGAGGATGCTGCCTTTTGGGAAAGATGAGGGCTTCAGTTTTGAACATGTTGATGCCTACTGGGTATCCAAAGAGACATGTGAAATAGGAATTGTGTATGTGAATCTAGAGTTTAAAGGGGAGCTCTGAAATGGACATATGATTGAGGGGGTCATTGTCATGGAAATGTGTTTGAAAAGACCGGAAGAGAATTCTCCTGAAGTGAGTACGGTACAGAGAAGTAAAAAGAACAAAAAAACTGAACCTTGAGCACCAGTAGGTATTCCCTGAAAGATAGGTCACCTTCACCAAAGGGAACTATAACATTCAAAAATGGAAAGGAAAGAAGTAAGAAAAGAAAAAATTAAAGTGAAATATACTACATTCTTGGATTGTTAAAGTCATAAAAAGCAAGCTTTTGTTGGTCTATTAAAAGTACAACATCAATATTATTGAAATGATAGAATATAAGTAACTGCTTATCACAGAGCCTGTTTGCTCCACTCAAACTTGTTGCTCTTAAGAGAGATTTCTCACGGCCTTTTAAAAGAATTGTTTTCACAACTGTCATGTCACTAAAGGGGCTTGTGTGTGCCATGACTTTTGCCAAGTCATGACTTTTGTGTACCTTCCTTTAGTAAGGCTGCCCCTTAAATGGGGCACTTCTATCCGGTGGATGGTTTGCTCAGAATTATATGTTTTCTTAAAGGCTCAAGATCATTATATTCCCTCCAATTCCTGATCCTGGAAAGATTTTTAAAGAAATGTTTGGAGACCAAAATGATGATACCCTGGTAAGCACTGACTCCATGGGAGTTTGAAATTGGTCTTATTTTTATTTATTTATTTATTTATTGGTTTTATTTTTTGAGGCTATAAAATTTGTAAAAAAATAATGGTAAAGTAGCATAATATAAAAATCATAATTTCAACAATTTCAAATGTACAGTTCAGTACATTAAATACATTTACAGTGTTTGGAAAGCATCACAACTGTCCATTTCGAGAACTTGTTCAATCATCCCACACAGAAACTATGCTCATCCCACCCACACACATTTGGTGGATTTCCTAGCTTCCGTGGGACTAGGCCTCAGTGCCTAAAGCAAACAAGCTACCTCAGTCCTGAGATAAACATCCTGTCTGATTAAACTCAGCTATTAGTTGCTAGGAAACCTTGTGTCACATGTTACTAACTTTGCAAAAGTATAAATAAAATACCATTTTGTTGTGAAAAAAAGAAACTAACTCACTAAACAGTAGCTATGCATATTGCCATTCCTGTCTCAGATAAACCCTGTACTTCTTGTCTCTGCATCTGCCTGTTCTGGATACTTCATGTACGTGGAACCAACAGTATTTTTTTGTTTTATGTCTACTCATTTCAGTTTGCCTCAGGTTTTCAAGGTTTATCATGTTGTAGCGTGTACCAGAATTTAATTTCAAAAATTGTTATTTTAAACTACAGTTTTATCTAAAAAGGTTAAAGAGCTGATTTAAGGTATATCACAGGCCATGCATGGCAGATAAAAAGTCGTTAGAACACTTTGTCTATTTTAGATCATGGGCTATGCATATTTTTGAGGTATAATACTCCAGACATCTAGGCAGAAGAACATCTAGGTGCCCTAAGAGACAAGCCTTCTTTTTTTTCACATGGAATTTTATTTATTTATCTATTGTTAATTTTATTGAGAAGCAAATACCAATGAGACAGTTTCAAAACCGATTAGTAGTAGTTTCAATAATTAGTACATTGCATATTGTTGTCTTCATAGTGGTTATTCATAGTATAAGATGCAGACATGATATCCTGTCCAAACACTATTAGTACAAATCTTACTTCTTATTGAATTTAAAGAAAGTAGCTGTATATCTATCCTAACTAATTTGTATATACAGATGCAAAATGGTCCTTCATTTGTATCCCTTTTTTTGTTTAGTTTTGTCAAGGATGGGTATTCCATTGCCATTTAAATATTGTAGACATGAATTCAGCAAAGTAATCCAGTATAGTCCAGTAGTCCATGATAATAGTGGGTTTTCTGTAGGACTGGCAATATCAGAAGTTATTGACTTGAGCCTTTTACAGCTCAGCGTATTAATATGGCTTTACTTTTTATAACTCATTTCTATACTTTTCTGCTGGATGGTTAAGACCAAGATAAAGCAAGACCTATATAACAAGTAATGTAACTTTTGTATCTGCCAAGGTCAGTCAAATCCCCTCAGGATTTATTTTCCATAATTTTATTGAGAAATAAATATCAATGAGACAGTTTCAAATCAAATTAGTAGGACAGTTCCAATGATTAACACATTGCATACAGCCTTCCTAGTGGTTGTTTGTTGTACAAGATGCAGAAATGATATCCTGTTTACAAACACCATTAGAATAAATTCCTCTATTCCTTGAATTAAGAGAATGTAGCTATATATCTATCCTAACCATTTTGAGTACACAGATACAAATACACAAATAGACATTCATCTATATCCCCTTTTTTGTTTAGTTCTATCACAGACAAGCCTTCTGACTGTTGGATAATTTTAAAAACTCAATATAGGAAAATATACAGTGCAATTGAAATGCACTTTGGTTACGCCGTTGTGTGGAAAATCAGACTCCAAATACAAGAAAGAGAGTAGGCCCACTCCTTTAGGGTTGGTTTCCAGCAGACTCTAAAGGTAGAATTGTAGACAGAAACCTGAGGAACAAAAGAGTTTGAGTTTTCTGTGATAAATACATTCACACTAATGAAATAATAAAAACACTGAATGAAATAAATGCCAATATGACTCTCTCGCTCTCTCTCTCTCTCTCTCTCTCTCTATATATATATATATATATATATATATATATATATATATATAAAATCAGTTCTAATAGGCATAAGGCAGTTAATTTAAGGAAGGAACACAGCATATTAGATAATAACCCAGGCTCTGGAGTCAGATTGTCTGGATTCAAATGTCTGCTGACTCACTGACCATCTTTTTAACTTTAGGTGATTTCCTTATTTGGGACTCAGTTTTCCTATTTGTAAAGTGGAGGTAACTACAGCACCTGCCTCATAGTATCATGCGGATTCAATTAATTTAATATGCAGTAACTTAGTATAAACTTAGCTGCCTGGCACATTGTGTTTAATAAGCTTTGGTAATGAGTCCTTTTAAATGAGTCTTAACTATTGATAATCATTTACATCTATCTTTCTTGCCAAAATGTAATAATGGTTGATTCACAGTGGTGGCAAATTTGGCTAGGGAAGGAAGGCAGAGAAGCTGGAGACTACCAGAGAATTCTTTTGGATCACTGTCCCACCCGTTCTCCTTCACAGACAGTGAGTAACTGCAGACTGTTGGGATAGGGCACCGCAAGTCAGATAGGTCCAGAAGTCTAGTACCTAATTACACTGTAAGTGGGGCAAGTGTGGCAACAGTGGTTCTTCAACTTTGATCACAGTCAAATGGAATGCTTGTGAGATTTCTGAGCTCCTGCTCCAGAAATTCTGATTCAGTAAGTCAAGAGTAAGGTCCAGGCACCTGCATAGTTAACAGAGCCCACAGGTGATTCCTGTCATGTTACAGTAGTCTATAGGAGGAGTGGGGTCTGCAGAAAAGGTGTCGGGCACCTTGTCTAGGTGGTAAGAAGCCTCTGAAACAGCGCAAGACGCATACCAAGGAGATGGATGAAGAAGAAAAGGTTTTCAATAGCAGAAACAAACAGGGGAGCAGCGGTTGAAATTAAAAATCTGGCAAAAAGTAAACTTTTCTTTTTGCTTAAGGTAATAGTGCCACTTGATTCCATTCCTATTTAAACATCTGGATTTCCTGCCATAGCATCTTTTGCCACCCATAGCTAGAATAGAGTGTTATCTTACAGTTTATTGTCTATTTAGGAATAAACTTTAATGATGATGATGATTTAAAACATAGTTTTTGGTCCACACTTTGAAATCACTGTTAGAGACATTTTCCCTCGTCAGTATTTCTTTCTTCATTTCAGCAGCTTCTCCCCTATAGATACTGAAAGTTGAGAATTGTTCAAGTACTATAACATTTCTACTAAATTATTGAAAGTCTACTGTATTCCAAACTATGTAACAAGTGCCTTGCATACTTCACTGAATCTTGCTATCCACCCTGTAGAGTAAGGGCTGTCAGTGTCATTTTACAGATGAGGAACTAGAGCACCAGTGGAACTGACTTAGCTATGATCACACAGCTGGTTAGTACTAAAGTAGGATTTCACCCAGGATTATCTATTTCAAGAGTTCTCTTACTCTTTCTACTGTGCTGTATTGGCTTGTAGGATAGAGTGCTTATTCTCAAAGATACCACTGTCTTCTGAGAGTCTTGTCTGACGAAAGAAGAGCATTTGGATAGGAGAATTCTGAGAAAATATTTGAGTCACATTATGAATAGCTTGCAATGGGAAGGTGTTAGGAATATTACTCTATCAACAATTCAGGTGGGATGGTTCAGAGAGAAGAAGCACACACCAACAAACTGAATTGCCCCATTAGATGTCTTGTTTGGCTGGTCTAGTGTGATGTATTTAAATTTTTTTCTATTTGGAAACTTAGACAGGACATGTGCTCTCTGATTCAGGCCCTACTGGTCTCAGTTCCCACTGTGGTTTCACACACTGGCCTAAGTGCCAGATTTCTGAAGGATGTTTGAGTTTGCTACTCTGCTTTAGCAGGCTGGAGGCTAGTTGAAGTGCCAGGAAACAAATGCCCAATATTTGTACAAACATGTGGGCATTGACCAACATACACAACACATCCAAAGCCAACCCTTGATGAGATACACACTTCTCCCCTAAAGAATTCCTAAAAAGAGGCAATATTTCATTTGTAATAAGTAGATAGGGAAGTGGCACTGCTTATTCATTGCTGGTGGGCCTGGCATAGGGTATACCGACTTAGTATCTGTATTAGTCAGCTTTCCCACTGCTGGGATACAATATCCAACACCCACACAACTTGAAGGAGAAATTAGCTCAGCATTTCAGGGGACTCAGTACGTGCTTGGCAGGCTCCAAGGCAGAAACATGAGGGCAGAAGGGCAGGGTGGAGCAGAGTTGTGTGGGAAGCACAACACCACAGCACCAGAGAGGAAGAGACAAGAGACCAGATAGAGTATACAGCCTCCTGACTCTGTGACTACCAAGACACACAGTAAGACGTGTGTTCTACCAGGCCTCCAGCCAGCTCCACAACCAATCAAGTTGCCAGAGTTAAACTTAACTGGCACCTTATATTATGCCTTATTCAGAGTATTTACACCTGATGCATTTCAAATCTTGGAGTTATTCACTGTATATTTATGTAGACTTTGCTAGCTGAATATTTCTAATCCAAAATTCTAAAATCTAAAATATTCCAGAAAAAAAAAGTCCCAACTTTTGACAGCACTGGGGATGTATCTCAGTGACTCAGTGCCTGCCTGGCAAGCATGAGGTCCTGAGTTCAATTCCTGGTACCAAAACAAAACAAAATGTGTGAAGTATTATGTCAGCACTCAAAGGTTCAGGTATCTGCTGGGCATAATGATATGTACTTGTAGTATTAGCTACTCAGTATATGTGCTGCCGAAGCGAGCACATTATTAGCTACTCAAGAGGCAGAGGCAGAAGGATTGTAAGTTGGAGCTCAGCCTGAGTGACTTAGAGACACTGTCACACACACACACACACACACACACACACACACACACACACACAGAGAGAGAGAGAGAGAGAGAGAGAGAGAGAGAGAGAGAGAGAGCTAGAATGTAGCTGAATGTT